TTATACAGGTGATTTCACAGGCAAAAGCGTTTTGTTGCTGTTATACCCAGCATCATATAATGGAAGGATGGTGTGTGAATCCACTCTGAGGTGACCTCACAGATGCCCGTTCAGGACCTGGAAGGGGAATCACCCTTGGCCAAGTCCACACTCCTCTCTAGAGGCAGCTCCCGTCAATGGCTGGTCCTGGAAGGAAGAAGGATAAAAGGCAGCCCCAGGCCATTCAGAGCTCCCTGTATAATTGGCTGAGGCTGCATCTACGTCATAGTTCAACGCCTCCTCTCCCTGCCTGTCTGTCCTGCCCCAGCTCTCTCACAGGTGCCTGATTGTGAGAAGATCCTCCTAACCACTCCCCGAAAAAAACTTCCACATGCAAATCTCATCATCTTAGTGTCTGTTTCCCAGGGAAGCTGACCTGCAGCAGGAGGTAATTTGGGTAGTGCCATATGCTACTTTGTAACAAGCTCATTTTTACTAATTATGGCATGAGTAGGTGGTGCCTGAACTCAGCAGGGACCGATAAATAGTTTTGATTCAGGCTGAGGGCAGTGGCTCACGCCTGTAATCCCAGCACTTTGGGAGGCCAAGGCGGGTGGATCACTTGAGGTTAGGAGTTCGAGACCAGCTTGGACAACATGGTGAAACTATGTCACTATAAAAAATACAAAAGTTAGCTGGACGTGGTTGTACATGCCTGTAGTCCCAGCTACTAGGGAGGCTGAGGTGGGAGGATCACCTGAACCTGGGAGGCAGAGGTTGGAGTGAGCCAAGATTGTACCACTATGCTCCAGCCTGGGCAAGAGAGTGAGTTTCTGTCTCAAAAAAAAAAAAAAAAAAAAAAAGAGTCAAGTGTAGGATTGAAATATCACCTTTGCTAGTGAGCCAGCTGATCCTGGGAATAGGACCTATATTTGCAGGAATTTGATGGAAGCACCTCTGCCCCAGCCATGGCAGTGCCGGACCATAGCCCTCGGCATGGAGAGCATGGAAGGCAGAAGCAGAGCGGAGGTGGCTTCCTGTGGGCAGCTTGTGCCTGAGCATGACCGAAGAAGGCCCAATTCTTTGTCCTAAACACATCATTGTGTACATTGCTGCACCTTCCCGTGGTGGGGCTGGGGGTGGGGGAAATGAAGTGGAGAGAAGCCCAGGAGTGTTCTGCTGGGCAGCTTCCTACATGTGGAAGACGGCATAAAGAGTGGGGGGACATTCTGTCCCTGACGCATAGCAATTCTCTTTGGAGATTGTATCTCTCTCTTGGGAATTCAGTCCTCAGCAAAGGACTGAATAAAGTGCCTATTCAATGACAGACATTATTTTGGGGGATTCAGAAATGAACAAAACAGGCAAAGTCCCTGCTCTTATGGAGGCTACAATCTAGTGGGGAACACAGAGAGTAAATGAGAAAAATAAGTAAAATATGTTGGGGGATGGATAGCTATCAGTGATCTATAACAACCCCAAGGTGGGGAAGAGGAAATGAGGAATTATGAGGAATGGCGTCAAAAAGGGACACAATAAAAGCCTCCATCTGTTTGTGTAGAATAGGGAATGGGGAGTTAATATTTGCCACTCAGACTGTGCTTCAATTTCAGTTGTCGTTTCTGCTGACACTTCTAACACTCTTCTCTCTCACAGCTCCCCTACATCTAATCCTGCAAGACCCTAATTGCTTTTGTGAACTTGAGCTCTCTGCAACCCTCTAGGCCATCCTCTGCAGGCTTAATGACCTTGACTGCAGCCTTGAAGATACGGGCATTCCAGGTGCTCCACCCTGGCAGGGGTTCAGCATTCCTTTCTGTCCACAGTTTTGCTCTTTGGCCTACTTCAGTGCTGGTCCAGTTGGCTGTGACTCCCCACCAGACGTGAAGGGACTTGCACCACCTGAATCTGGTTAGCAGCTGGCTCACATAGCCAGGCTTGCCGTTTCAGCTTTGCTACTGTCATATGAACCCTGGGCCAGAAGATTCTACTGACACCTGGAAACTAGGAATGGTTTGGTGGTGTCCTGACATGGTGGATATTTATTGTTTTGTGTTTCTGGTGCTTTCTGAGAATAATACTCCCTTTATTTGGGGGAGTTGTTCTTGCTACCCAATGTGAACCAAATGGGTAATTCATATTTTACATCACTCCACTTGTCTGTACAAAGTGTTTGGTCCAAAGGTAGGCCCCTGGCCAAGCTGAGCTAATCACAGGAGCCACTGTTCTGGCCACAGTGACATGTGTCTAATGCATGACTCAGAACACACCAATCACTCCCCTGGGATTTCAAAAACTAAACCTGCGGGGAGAAAACTTTTTTCTCTTGAGGAAAAGCTGGCAGATGTAAGCCTGTAGCTGTAGCAGCCATGTCTGACTTCTGTGAGAAAACCAAGCTGTGGTTAGGGGAGAAGAAAGGCAATCCACAGAGCGAGGCAGAGACGAGAGTCGGAGAGAGTCGAAGTCCCTGACTCCAGGTGTCTGCAGTCACACTCCTGCTCTTCAGGGACTTAGGTCAGTACGTTCCCATTTTTTTCTTACTTAGGTCAAGTAGGTCAGGTTAGGTTCCAGTCATGACTATTAGACATTGAGTCATGGCTATGATATTTGGGAACCCAGAGGGTTCAGGTGAGCAGCCCCGTGTCTTCTACCTGCCCATCTTTGCCATCTTTGGAAGATTACTTCTTCCATGAAGCGTTTTCTTTTCTTTTTCTTGTTTGATCCAGGGTCTGTCTGTGTCACCCATGCTGGAATGCAGTGGTGCAATCTTGGCTCATTGCAACCTCCTGTTGCTGGGTTCAAGTGATTCTCATGCCTCAGTCTCCTGAGTAGCTGGGGTTACACGCACCCACCACCATGCCTGGCTTATTTTTGTATTTTAGTAGAGATGGGGTTTCACCATGTTGGCCAGGCTGGTCTCAAACTCAGGAACTCAAGTGAGCTGCCTCTCTTGGCTTCCCAAAGTGCTGGGATTACAGGCATGAGCCACCGACCTGACTCCTCCTCCTTCCTTCCTTCGTTCCTACATGGCGCCTCAGTTCGACTTCTCTCATGGTAATAGTAATCCTTAGTGTACTTGCTGGTTTAACAATTTGTCCTCACCAAGAAGGTAGAAATTGGTTCTTATTCTTCTTCATATTCTCTAAGTTGGGCATGTAGATGCTTAGTGTGTGTTTGCTGGATGAAAGGATAATGGATAGATGGATGGATAAGTATCATTACCATTAAGTGGGTACCTCTGTATGCCAATCCTTTAATAAAGATGTCAAAAGTCCAGAGACTCTCTGGGGACTGAATGAATTCTGGGGCTTTGGAGGGCTTCTGAAAAGGCCTGGGGAAAGTGAATTCCCATGGAACTACTCTGGAGTCACCACAGGGTGATGCAGAGTTTGTTCAAGTTTGCACAGGACACTTGGTGACTATCAGCTTTCTCTGATTTGTTCAGGGTGCATGAGAGTAGTGTTTCAGCCCAGTGCGGTGCCTCAGGCCTGTAAACCCAGCGCTTTTGGAGGCTGAGACGGGCGGATCACCTGAAGCCAGGAGTTCAAGACCAGCCTGGCCAACATGGTGAAACCTCATTTCTACTAAAATATACAAAAATTAGCCAGGTGTGGTGGTGTGTGCCTATAATCCCAGCTATTCAGGAGGCTGAGGCAGGAGGATCTCTTGAGTTGGGAGGTGGAGGTTGCAGTGAGCTGAGACTGAGCCACTGCACACTCCAGCCTGGGTGACAGAGTGAGACTCCATCCCCCCCACCCCCCCAAAAAAGAGTAGTGTTTCCTCTGAGGCTTAGGATGCCAGCTTGGGGAACTCCAAACTTGGGCATTATGTGGTGGCAAAGCACCTCACTCCACAGAGGTACCCAACCTTGCCATGGCAAGTTAGACATAGCAGGGAAGACGGGTCTCCCTGATTTGCTCTTGAGTTCTCACTTTTCCCTCCAAACTTCCTAGAAGGGACTGGGGCTCCATTCCCTGGGGTCATTCATAGCCACATTGCCTCTCCTTAGCCATTTTCTCTCAGCAGAGTCATTCTTATTGGCATAAGTGTTTCCCCAAATGGCTTCCTTGATCTTAATCTCTCTGTCTCTGTCTCTCTATGTCTCTCTCTGTCTCTCTCTCTGACACATACACACACACCCACACACACACACCCTGTTTATGGCATTAGCTACTTTCTACCTGGCATTTTAATCATTCTTTTCCATAGAGACTATGTGCTTTTTTGAGGACAATTTTCTTCATCTTTGCAGCCCCTAGGGTGCTCAGCACAGTGCCCGAAAGAAGTGGAGTTAGATGTTTTTGAATACACTCTCTGTTCTCACATTTAGATTTCTCTAATTGCTTTAATTCAGGTTATCTACATAGCTTTCTACAGAGGGATTCTCTTAAGAATATATTGTGAACAGCTCTCTTTTGCTCATATGGACATTTTTCCGAATTTATTTTTCATGCTGACAGATTGTTTTCTGGTCTGAATGTACTGCCATTTATTTTCCCAGTTCCCTAGTGCTGGAGCTTCTGGGTGCGCCCAACATTCATAATTATTAACCATGCTGCTGCGAGCCTCCTTGCTAGACCTTTGCGTAATCCATCTTTGCTTTCTTAGGATAAATTCTGAGAATGGAATCTACATTTTAAAGTCTTTTGACACGTCCTGACAAACATCCTTCCCCATAGCCTTCAGTCTGAGCTGCTTTTATAGCTTTCCTCATAGCCATTATTCCATCAATAGGTAACATGGACAGACTTCAGGGAATGGAATCCTCCAGCCCTTTACCCTGATCCTTCCTCCGAGTTATATATTGTGTGGTTTCAAGGCCACTTTGAAATCATTGAGAAACAAAGACACAGGGAAAGTGTTTTAAAGTGAGGAAAAGTAGAAAAACCTTTAGAGGTCTTCACAGGGATACCATAGAAACCATGTAGTTGACATATTGTCTCTTTATTTTTTAAAAGTCCTTCTTTTTTAATGAAATAAATCCAAAAGATGTACAGTCAGGCTCAAGTTGTGCAGTTCACAAGCATGGAGGAAACAAACAAAACAACAAAGTTCAGGATGGTCAGAGCAGAGTTAACCCAGGCCAAGGCTGGACTTGCCACCAGGGGGATTTCCTCTGGATGGCGCTGAGGCCGGGACTACTGGGCTCAGCACAGGTATGGCCGGCGCAAGCTTCTCTTCCCTCTGCCCCAGGCTGCCTTGCAAGGCTGTGTCCACATTTTCATGAATGTCATCTTCTCCCTTCAGATCTAAGAATCTGCAGAGTTCGCTTCAGAAGAGTTCGTGCCCTGCAGTCCAGATGACTCCAAGTCTTCCCCACCACCTCTAGACTTGGCACCTGCCAACGTGGCCCAAGAAGGTGGATTTTCTTCAGATGTCCCAAAGATATTAGAGATCATTTTGTTCTTTCTCACAGTTTGTTCTGTTGGTTCATCAAAACCCAGTGAAAAATTGGATCCACCACCTGGCAGCTGCAAAACCTGGGAGCTATTCCTGCTGTTGGGGTCGACGTCCTTGAAGGTGGTGGTAGTGGTCATGGCACATGGAAGCAGAATGCTGACAGGGTCGGACCGAGGGACACAGGGAGGCTCCATACCCCACAGAGTGACCCCCGCCAGGGGAGTCTCCTGCCCACATGTTAGCTTTTCAAATGCTATTTGGAGTATGTTATTATGTCTCTTTAAATGCTCTTTTGAAATGATACTTATTACTACCTAAGATGTAAATAACTTATCCTAGGTTAAAAACAGCATGGTTGGTGGGCTTCAAACATAATCCCTTCTGTACGGCTTTTGAAATATGGGACACCATGGCTATTCAGTTAGGTCCCTTGCTGGTGAGTCAGGCAGCCAATACCATCAGAAGCTGACCACATACGTGCCCCCCATGGAAGCTTCTGTAGCACAACCATGTGAGGCAAGCCTTTGACACGAAGTCCCTGTGCCCAGTTGACTCACAGCTCCACTTATCCCTGTGTGAGATCAAAATACAAATGCCAAAATTTCACTTCCCCAATTTTCTATTTTTGCTAATTGCCTCCACCTTGTTCTTTTTCTTTATATCCTATGCACATTTGACATTTTAAAAAGGTGTTTTTCGCTCTGAATTTAGGCAAATTGGCCCACAGATCTCCCCAGTGAGTAGCAGACTCTGAGTTAATATTCACGGTGTTCTAAGTGTTAACACCACTTGGTTTTGCCTTGCTGCCTTTGCCTTGGCTGCAGCTAGTTTTAAATTGTGTTTATACAATTTTTCAGAGTTACTTGCATTTTTTTCTTTAACGAGTCACAATATCTAGTATCAAGTTCAGTTTGGTCGGCTATTTCACTACTATTCTGTACATAGGACAGTTAAATTATAATGTTAATTTAAAAGACAGAGAATCTGTAGTAGGTTTATGTTTGAACAGGAGAACACTTTTCTGCCAGACCTGAGGACCTTCTAGGCTTTACCCTCTAGAATATCTTCTTTTGTAAAGAAGATAAAATAAATCTCTGGAATTATTGGGGAACACCTTTCATTTTGTTTTTAAAAAATGTTTGCTTCTTTAATCCCCTGTGATTGAGAAGGCATAGAGGACTGCCAACTGAAGTGGAAGGGGCTGATCACAAGGTGTACAGCATGCTTACTTTAAAACGGCTCTGAAAAACAAGGCAACGATTCCTTATCAACACTGACACCATAAAGGAAGTTAGCTCCAAGTATATGTGGGGGTAAAGGACTGTCCTTTGTACATTCATCATTGCCATTTGTATTGTCATTCTTGGCCGTGAAGAATATTAATAGACATTTCTATGAAGATGATATTTTCATTAGAGCCATTTCTGTTTTCTTATTCAACAGAAAAATAGACGAGGGGCTGGTCATGATGGCTCACGCCTATAATCTCAGCACTTTGGGAGGCCAAGGCGGGTGGATCACCTGAGGTCAGGAATTTGAGACCAGTCTGGCCAACATGGAGAAACCCCGTCTCTACTAAGAATACAAAAATTAGCCAGGTGTGGTGGTGGGTGCCTGTAATCCTAGCTACTCTGGAGGCTGAGGCAGGAGAATCACTTGAACCTGGGAGGCAGAGGCTGCAGTGAGCCAAGGTCGTACCATTGCACTCCAGTCTGGGCAACAAGAGGAAAATTCCATCTCAAAAAGAAAAAAAAAAAAAAGGAAAGAAAAATAGATGAACAATGTTGGTATATCCCAAATGTTCCTGATTCATCGCTCTGGTGTTCGTATCACACTCATCTGAGGCCCCGTGTTGTCCACCAGCCTTGTAATTTCCACATCTGTCTCCTGCTTGTTTGTTGCCTGATCCAGTTGTCCAGCCCTGGACCACCACCCTGCTCTTCCCCCCTGTCGCAACCCGTGTCTGGCTCTGTCACTCTCTGTCCTGCTTCCTCCTGAATGTGGTGGACACAGACACTTCCCACAGTCCCCCCGTGGAAGTTGAGAACAGGCTGTAACTTTTGAGGGTTTGGGAGTGGCAGAAGAGGATTAAACCCCAGGGACTGGAACTGCAGGCAGGACTGCTGTCAGCATCTGGCTCCCCATCATTACAGGGATACCCCCCTGAGTACCCTTCTTTCTAGACTGTCAGCAGCCATTCTTCCCCTCACACATAGCACAGTCATGTTTCCCGCCCTGGGGTGCAAACTCCATCTCTTACAGATCAAGAGAAATAAAAAGATTTTTTTTTTTTTGTTATTTATACTTTAAGTTCTAGGGTACATGTGCACAATGTGCAGGTTTGTTACATATGTATACATGTGCCATGTTGGTGTGCTGCACCCTTTTCTCATCACTTATATTGGTATATCTCCTAATGCTATCCGTCCCCCCTCCGCCTCCCCACTCCCCACAATAGGCTCCGGTGTGTGATGTTCCCCTTCCTGTGTCCAAGTGATCTCATTGTTCAATTCCCACCTATGAGTGAGAACATGCAGTGTTTGGTTTTCTGTTCTTGTGATAGTTTGCTGAGAATGATGGTTTCCAGCTGCATCCATGTCCCTACAAAGGACACGAACTCATCCTTTTTTACGGCTGCATAGTATTCCATGGTGTATATGTGCCGCATTATCTTAATCCAGTCTGTCACTGATGGACATTTGGGTAATAAAAAGATTCTTCAACCAGATTTGCGTCCTCATTCCCTGCATAATAATTGCTCTCTTCCCAAGATTACGGTTACTTGAGTACATTCATTTCTTTTAGCGGAGCCCCATCCCTGGAACCTTCCTCTTTATCATCTAAAAGATGCTAGAATTCAATGGTCTGATGTCATATATTTCCCAAAATTTTGGTTAGTTGCTCAGGTTGGGATTTTTTTGTTAAGCGTCAAGGTTGGGATTTGGCAGTCCCAGTCTTCCAGCATGAGGGCACTTCCAGAGAGGACAGGACAACAGGGCCTGTCTGGAGTCTGTGTTGTCTAAATACAGATTTAGTAAAGGAACATTTTTCTTAAGGAAAACCTAATTTGCAGAAGCATAGGTCCCATTAAAAGTCATACCCAACTGACATTTCTGAAACAGACACTTAACTTCCCAGTCAGAATCATTTGCATTCTGATCTTTCCCAAGAAAGAGGAGAACATGCTATACATTTGCCTATCTCTGAGTGATGGGTCTGGAAGTAGATACCGGCAGGGCTAGACAAGACGCTTATCTCCCACTACACTATAGCAATGGTTTCCCAAATGCAAGCCAAAAAAGGTGCTGTGACTCAAATCAATATGAAAACTACTGGGATAACAAGATGTTTTTCAACTCAGATAGGTCTAAAGACCTTTATTTTGCTCTGTACGTTGTATGTCTCTGAGAAGGGGATGGTATTATGGGTTTCTCAAACTTTTTGACCATTTAACTCTCTCTCTCCTCCACAAAGAGTTACTCTTCTAAAATTCTAGTCAAGATTGGATGGATAAAGACCCATTTGCCTTCCTTGGTTAAGGACACTTAGTTTACAACCCAAAGATAAAAATAATTACTATGACTATGCTTAGAATTATATTTCTAGCCTGCCCAAGGGGATAGAGAGAAATCCCAGAAATCCTGTGACCCGGCAGCATTTGTAGCCTGAAACAATCTGTTCTGTTCCAGATGGTTTTGCCCTGTGAGCCCATGCGGCATGGCCTACTGGATCCTCTATGGTCTCTGCTTTCCTTCCTTGTTCTTTTGTTTGCTCCATTCTTTCTCAGCTTGAGAAGTTCAGACACGATCCCTTAATTTCTGTGCATGTCCATTGGGGAGATTTTCCCTCTCTTACCTATTACTTCAGATGCTGAGAGCAGTCCTGCCTGCAGTTCCAGTCCCTGGGGTTTAATCCACTTCTGCTACTTCTAAGCCCTCAAAAGTTACAACCTGTTCTCAACTTCCACAGGGGGACTGTGGGAAGTGTTCTGCATTTACTGCATTCAAAAATAGATTTTCCAGAAGCTTTTTGAGGGACAACTCTGTCACTATTCAGACTTGAGAAGATTTGAGTTTTTTGGTGAGGCAACAATAGTGTGATGTCTGGTTTCTGGGAATAATCACACAGAATAATTTATTAGTAGTCAATGATTCATTTATGCAAAATATAAAAATACAGACATTGTCATGTTACAAATGTTAATATTTAATACCTACTTCAGTATTTCTGCAATCATCCATCATTCTTAGTTGATGAATCTTCCATTTTTTCCATAAACTTTCTTTCTTGGTGAAAGGTATTTGTTTTGCCATATAGCTCAAGTTAATTCTATATCAAGAAGGCAGGCCAGGCACTGTGGCTCACGCCTGTAATCGCAGCACTTTGGGAGGATGAGGCAGGTGGATCACGAGGTCAGGAGATCTAGACCATCCTGGGTAATATGGTGAAACCCCATCTCTACTAAAAATACAAAAAAATTGACCGGGCACGGTGGCGGGCACCTGTAGTCCCAGCTACTCGGGAGGCTGAGGCAGGAGGATGGTGTGAACCTGGGAGGTGGAACTTGCAGTGAGCCGAGATCGCGCCACTGCACTCCAGCCTGGGCGACAGAGCGAGACTCTGTCTCAAAAAGAAAAAAAGAAAAAAGAAAAAAAAAGGCGTATGCTACCAAAGTGCTGTTTCCAACCACACAGATGCCTTTCTTTAACCTTTTGGAGACGTGTAGAATGACTTATCTTCAAGAAATGTGAATGCAGAAGTCATGTGAGAGAACCTATCTATGCTAACTGAAAAGTTGGGGTGTGGTGTCCCAGGTTAATACATGTCCTCCCAAAATGCACACACATGCATACACAAGTGTTTTATTTTAAGATGTGGGAAAACAAGACAGCTACCAGAAAAGCTGAATGAGCTATATTTGTCTCAGGAGACTACAATCGACAAAACTGAGAGTCAAATTGATAACTCATCAATCAGATTATTGACCTTATCTGTCACGATGTTGACGAGTTCCATCTACAGCCTTGTTTGGGGTGGGATTAAGGAAGAAGAACTGTTGTGGGGAAGAAAGAAACAGAAAGATTGTAGGACAGTCAGTGAATAGATTTCCCCTAGAGTAAATTCATTGTTCACACAA